AACTCTTACTAACTAACTAACTCTACACTAACTCTTACTCATCGTAGTCAATCAAATGACGATGCTATGGCGTTAGACATGGGGAAAAAATGAAAAATGAAGTGAAAAATGAATGAGTGCTCAGAAGAAAACAGCGGACAGGTGTAGAGCTGATTGTGAATGCAATGCTTTCCTGAACGTTCTATAACAACCGTAGCGCAAAGGAGTGTTCGTTGGGAGATCCACGTTGCGGCAACGCGAGGAAAGAGGTGCTACAAGGAGCGCTATTTACGTGCACAACATTCGCACCAGAACCTTATTACGTAACTGTGAACTTGGAAGTAATACAGTATGTCCAGTTAATCAGCTAGGAGAGGCACATATAAGTTTACGCGTATCGCTGCATCGTTCATTTCCCAACCCACATCAGTAAAAAAGATACTCACCCGTAAATGTTCCATACCCGAATATTGATAGTGAAAATAATATACTTGGAACCTGAAAGCAAAAGGAACTGAAAACTCATGCTTGAAGGAGATGTTGCAAATGTACTGACATAATTGCTACAGCGCCCTAAAAAAAGTCAGGACTTCCTATGGGCGCACGCATCCTCTTTCTGCCTACACACGCAATGCCAAGGTAAGTATCAGTTCTAAAACCGCCAGCCAGAAAAATTGGGGTAGAGGTGGTTGAGCGCCACGCGATGTCACGACTACATAACCCACGCCATGTCCATTAATTTAAGAGCGTCCTCTAATCCTACGGGGAAATAGCGCACATACAAACTCCAGCGTTTGGAAGACATAAGGCAAAACAAGATATGATGGGGCATGGCAGCACCGCTGCGTGTACCTATCCAACTAGCGCAGCCCCGGAAAATATTCTGATTCAAAGCAGAACAACTCTCTAAATAACGAGTTGTTTTTTCAAGATTGTACTGGTAATATGCGAACACATAATTCAAGGATAAACTCACAATCCATATAACGGCAATGATTAACATGACCCGTCGCGGCGTCCGCCAATTACGATAAGTGGCTGGATGCTTTACAGAACAGTACCTGAAAGATTATTCACCATTTTCGTAAAAGATTATCCACTTTGTCGTACTTAAGAGAGAATCATGAAAAACGCAAGGCCTTGATGACCTTCATTTAAAGGCACTTTCCGCGATAAAATAAGGCTATGACCTTTCAAATGTGTCAGACGATCCGGAAGGAGATTGCGGAGGCTGCGCTACCTTTAGAAAGTGAAAATCGGCAAGAATTCCGCTTTAAGCTAACCAATTAGGCCCATTGGCGCCCCTTAGGCCCATGCCGACCCCCAACCGGCTGCTAGCTACTAGCTAGTAGCCACTATACTATCTCTCTCCATTCCGAATGGTGAGAGTGAGGTGATAAGATAAAAGAGCTGATATCTTTATGATAACGACGAGTGGAAATTCGTACAAACATGCGTTTTCTTCATTGCATGCATGTACAAGTTGGGGTCGATATGGAATCCTATTTAGGGCATTCTCGGCTGCTTTTTTTTTTTTTTTTTCCGCTGCTTATTTTTCCGCTAATGGAGATATCCCAAGGCCCTCTTCATCCCTGTGTGGGATTTTTCCGCTACCCACAATCTGTGGTCGCTGGGCTTTGCCTTAAGAAGTATCATGAAAAAACGTAAGGCCATTGAATGCGCTTCATGGAATTCACCTTCTTACTCAAGCTTTTTCGAGGGCGTTGAGTTAGCATTGAAGTCAACGATTCACTCACAATCACTTGCTTATTGCCTTTTTGTTTCTGAATTTTTTTTTTTAAATTTTTTTTTTTTTTTTTTTTTTTAATTTATAATTCGACTGACAAAAAGGCGACTCGGATGACTAGCCATAAGAACATATGCACCGGGACCATCCGCTGAGGAGTCCCAACGAGGGTCATATTCTGGCTCGTTAGAAGGGCGGGATCATATTTAGAAGAATCAGTAGCCAAGGATTGGAAAATCAAATTACCCTAAAATCCCATAGATAAGAGCGGTCCATAGATAAGGGCGGTTTGTGCTAGTTGTTGTGAAATAAACTTTTAAAAATGTTTATTTAAAATCATTTTTTACCGGTAAATAACACCGCTCTTATCTATGGAATTTTACTGATCGAATGGGCTCTTCAAGTTCTATCCAGAGATCAAATTCCGGCATTTCTAGAGAGATTCCGGCAGAAATTCCGTTAAAATCGCTATTTTTCTATATGAATTGTTTATTAAGTGGGCGGGGTTTAGAGTTGAGGGGCGGAGCTTCTTCTAAACTTCTTCTCCGATTTTTATTTATCCATCCATCAAGTTAGAGGGGTGACTGCTTTCAATTTCAATTTCATTCCAATTCATTTTTCACCGGTAAATCAAACCGCTCTTATCTATGGGATTTTAGGGTATATAAATTATCCCATCGCGTCACTGTCACCACATGTTCCTAACTACAGAGAGTATTTCATAGGACTCAGAAGGCTGTTTCACGGACCAGTATGAATTTGAGTGTTGCTAGGAAGGAGGTCGTTTGCATGGCTCACCTCATGACTGAGTTCATCAACCCCTCTAGCCATCAACTGACATTAACTACAGGTAAGCGATGTACTTTCTAGGGCTCCCATAGCTTAGAAACTCTAATATTTCAAATTGCAGCACCAACTCCCGCTAGTTATAAAGCTGTAACAGAATATTAATGCTTACGAAGGAGCGCGAAACCAACAATTTCCGGTATTCCCTGAAATTAATCCTGAAGTTATGTGAGAATGAAGTGATGAGTTAGTTATGAAGGAAGGCAACTTGCATGGTTGTACTAGTACATAGTTTTCTCGTCACCGGTAAGATCCTCAGCGGCATATTGTGCACCTTTCGAAAAGATTTCGACGTCTCTAGAGGGATGAGACCTTCATTTCCGCACCGGTTTTTATTTTGCCCTGGATCCTGTGCTGCCCAAGTTATGGTCCCAGGAATAATGAAAGGTTGCACTCTCTGGAGCATTCCATTGTTATCTTTGAGGCGAAGACGTAACACCTATTCAGTGACCAGTTACCACCTATAACCTTTCAGCTGGAAGGCCCTTAGAGATCATGAACCTAATGTGCTTTGCGAAAGTTATTTTTGGGAAGAAGGTGGTGGTTCGGCCGGGTGAGATAGTCTGCTCCAACGCTAAAATGCGAGTTAGCCGTTCTAGGTAGCCAAGTTCAGCCGTGGAGTCACTTGGAGGGAGGAGTCGCATAGATTTCCTATGGGGAACGTCGTATCGACGGGTCAAAGTTCTTAAAGGTGATGTTCGACCTTGCCAGTGGAATTTACAAAAAATTACTAAAAAGTTGCTGCCGTTTTCAGGTTTTCGCGCGTCTGTCGTGTGAGTTCACGCTACCATGTACACTTACCCCTGAGACGGAGTAGCCATGGCACCTGAGCGTGGCATAGGATGGATGACTCATGGTATATATAATTTCAGGGCAACTGTCATCTTGTTTTGTGTTGGACACAGACGACTGCAACTGCATCAGAAAATCACATTCTCTTACGAAAAGTGTAGCCGATAATCCAAATACGTAACCACACCTACCGCATACCAGGGACTCTGAGTGTATGTACAGTCCTCATCATTGCGGACCGGTGGGGCGTGTCAGTGCGGCTCCGTCTTCCGCGGTGATGAAGTCGTTCTGCACCAGTTGTTGAAGCGGGCAAGTGACATTACTGTATTATATCCTTCGTATTACTCGTTTTCTACCACTTTTTGTCGCATACGCGTTTCAACAAAAAAGGCTGAGAACGGCTTCAACAGTGTGCGCACTCCTACTGGCTGACACGCCCCACCGGTCCGCAATGATGAGGACTGTAAATGTGCCTCATACTCCAGAAAACGGGTACCTTTTTCCTACGTGCCCTTGAAATATTGAAAAGTTCAGTTCTAAGAAAAAAAAAACAACCTGACACTATTCTACTGCATAAATGAATAAAAGCGACCTGACACTATTCTACTGCATAAATGAATAAAACCTAACGATTCTCCTATGTCCCCCGTGAGGCGCTCCAAAATGGGTAGACTGAAGGTGCCTACGCTGCTTTTCCTTACAACATTTCCTTTTTTGATCCAGCAATCAAATAGAAAAGCCTCACTCGTTATCCGAAACGCATCCCCTCCCTCCCTCCCCCCTCTCACCCTCATTTTCCTTTACAACGTGCTGAAAACTATTTCGAAACAGCTTTGAACGAGTCGGAGAAGTGTGCTCGTTAGTGCGAGCAATAATTATAGAACTTTCCCGAGGAAGACGTCGTTTGTCGTAAAAACTACAAGGCTATGCCTAAGTTTACAACTTCCGATCGAGTGTTTTTATAAATATGAAAGCGCACTTTCAAGCTACTTTCGAGCTTGGCTATTCTCTACGTGGACAGTCAAGCATCAAGAAGAATGGCATCATAGTAGATCCAACTTCGCAAATGTGAATAACGTGGGCTGTGTATTTTGTCGTTATTTCAGCCATATCTTCTCATCTGTTTCAAGTGTCAAGGGAAAGCAAAATCATCGTACCTATCGACGGTGATACCTAGCACCGTATAAATGGAGGCGAGACAAACTATGTAGTCCACTGACAGCCACAAGTCACACAGAAATGGCCCGAATGCCCAATGACTGTCGTGCAAGAAGAAATGCGTATACACCGGTATGCCTTCCAGTCCAATTACCTGAACAGAGATAAATGACGGTGTAGAACCATAAACAGAAAATCTTGTTCTTCCAGAAAGTACTTGATTTGCGCTGATAGAATTCAGTTTCTTTCTTTCTGCTGTCAAATCATCTGGCGCTTGGGAGAAGTAGTGCGGTGCGTTTTACCATTCTATATCGTGGAGGTCGGTCAGTTCGATTTCAAGAAGGGTGGGCTAATCTCATTTGCGATGTTCCCACCACTGGTTGTTCTCTTCATAAATCGATCACCAGTGGTTGAGCAACACCGCCGGAGGCGGGTTGATCCCGCCCTTCTCAACCGCCCCGATTAATTTCGAGGTAATAAATTATACAGTCTATCTTTGATCTGCAGCAATAGTTTTGGCCTTCTCAAATTTGCAACTACAACCGGCCAGAAATTACCTGAAATAATATGAAAGCAGGGTAAGTTCTTCTCACGGCTCTCGGAGCAGTTCAGCTTAAAGGTGGGAGGGGGCATTTTGCTAGTTTGCCGATTTCTTTGGTTCCATCACCTAGAAGACATCTGTGAACTCTAGTGAAGCACATGCCATTTCTGTACTAGCTTTACTGAAGTTTACAGGCCCTAACGTGAACGAGAACTGGGAAGATGCCCCTCCCTTCGGGGCCAACAAATCCGGGCCATTTTTTCTCTTATATGAACAAGGTTTCATGAGCGTTCTTATGAACCAAACAAGGGTAACTTTACACCCTCATTTCACCTCTTTTGCTTAACACTGTTCTGAACATGAGAGCCTGAGAAAACATGAATGTGATTTTGCAATGAAAAGTCGCAATATAGAATCAATACTCATGGTCAGGATTAAAAAATACTTTTTAAGGACTAGAACTCCATAAAGTGATTGGAGCAAGGAAATTTTTTACGAATTGCATTCCAGACGTGGAATATGTAAGGTCTGTTGAGAACTTTTGCACTTCGTCACTCAAGACCCCCTAGAGAGTGAGTTCGTGTTCCTCAATCCTCTCATGAAGGCTTTCCCCTCTAGCTTTTGCCTTCTGATGGAACCGAACAAAAACAAAACACGGAGGTCTCAACCATCTATCTCACAAGACGCGAACTTTTGACTCCTTGTAAGCCACGGCCATAAAACTTCTAAAGAAGATATTGATTTCAGCACACATCGCCGCCCCCGTCCCATTCGCCACGAACAAAATACTATTTCCTGAGAAATCGTCGAAAAATCATGAAAAAGCACAACAAAGTCGGGCGGTTGAACTACAGCTGCGGTACATCAAACATTTTACTTCCATCTCTATTCCTTGTAGAATCTGTGTGTGCACTGAGCTCATACCAAGCTTGGAGGAGTCAAATAATGCCCAATAGCTTTCAAACTACCCAATATGTACAAGCTAGGCAACATTGAAGAGAAGATCCACTCGGCTCCTAGGAAGTTTGATCGCAGCTCCTATTCAGGTTGCTTTCAAAAACTCTCCGAGTCGCGCCAGACTTGGAAAAAAATCATGTTCGTTTGATAACAAGCTATTATACATTAACCCCCCCCTCCTCCTCCAACCCTGCAATCAAGTACGACCTGATCCAGATCCATGTTGTCACTAAAGCGCACAAGTTAGCTAGTACTTCATAATTAGTTAGCTCGACATCATTTCGCATTACCATTTTAAGAGATAAGAGATAGGTCTTAATCATCGCCTGAGTTGCCGCAACATGCATCTTCTGACCAGATCCACTTAAGTGGGTATCGTTGAGATTGGTGGCCACCACTTCTATCAAATGTTCGGCGTGTACTCCGCACTTTCAGTAACTCGGCGATGTCTTGACGTCAAGCCCTTGACATACCTCCTTTTAGCTGAGCACTCATGTCGCCTCATGATTCAATCAACTAAAATATGGAGATATGACGCAGAGTGCGCGCAGTCAGTCCTCCAAATGGTGCTTAATGCAGCAGCTGGAAACACACCCTTTGTTGCTACTTTTACGACGGCGCAGAGGCTCAAGGCATCGTTTACCGAACACATCTACAACACACTATCCTGTTGCAAAGGTACGCTCCACGATTAGCAATGGGTCCAATCCCTCCTGAAATAGGTGACTCCGCATCGCGAAGGAAGTGTTCTTTTCAAGGCTAAGAAGTGCGCAGAACACGTTCTTCAAGCCTATTCTATAGGTCCAAGTTGTCCCTGCCGTCGCGATGATGTCGTCCTATTCTCCTTCGTCGTCGTCTGGTCTCTCTTACGCCTTCTTCAGCGTCCCGCCTCTCGCCTCTTGTCGCTAACTTCGACCACCATATGCCCGTACAGTGATCGCGATCAAGAGCCAGAAATGAGGTCCTTATTGAAGTCGTATTGCTCTTTGTCGCCTGCAAGCACCAACACTTTTGTTCTTGAACGACGTCAACAAAAAGCAGTGGAATGCGTCTCTGGACGCTTTACAGTTTCCGCTTCGGTACTTGAAGGGTCAATTGACTGTTCTGCAAAATACTGAGAACCGAAATGGATCTCTTGAATTTATTCCCAAACAGCTCGAGTGAAGTGATGGAGCCAATAGGGAGATCATAGGAACCGAACAGAAATGCAGGAAAACAAAAAAAAGAATAGATACTCAGCTAAAAGAAGATATTGAGATACGAGACAGAAAGAAGACAAAAGGCAGGCAGAGAGGCACCCAGAAAGCGGACGGAGATTGGGACACATGAGACAGGAAGACAGACAAAGATGGACCATGCGCAGATATACAGATAGACAGACAGACAAAGAGACACAGACAGACAGACAGACAGACAGACAGACAGACAGACAGACAGACAGACAGACAGACAGACAGACAGACAGCAGACAGACAGACAGACAGACAGACAGACAGACAGACAGAGACAGACAGACAGGCAGAGAGAGACAGACAGACAAGTAGACAGACATACAGACAGAGACAGACAGACAAGTGAATAGGTATGAGAATAGTATTGTGCAACACTACTGTGCAACAATTTTAAATGTGGACGAGTAGAAAAATTAATAATAAATAGTAAAAATAGTAAAAATCAAAAAGAGATGAAACTCGTTGAAGGCTAATTCAGTGGAAACAGCTCCGAGGGACTAATCGAAAACTCTGCGAAATTTTCGGTAATTGATCAACTGATTATTCGCGCACATTTCACGCTCTACGAGCCGTGAGGGCAGAGCCAGACCTAACAAAGTGCCACCTTTATTGGCAGCTCTACTTCTCTTTACTATCTTAGGAAACAACTCGATCCTACTAGTCAAGTATCTCTGGACTTCCCGAACCGAGCGAATGCGTGGTGCACTGCAACGCTCACTATTTACGAGCGCCCAAGGCTTTTCTGTGAGCAGGACTGGCACGGATGTGTTATTAAAACCTTACTTAGCAGCATTTCTGTTACAGTTGTAGGTAATCTCCCTTACTGTGGGCAGCTTAAGAGTAATTCACGTAGTCGTTCGCAATGAAATTCCAGTTTGTCAAATAGTGAATTACTTGGAGGGAATTTCATTATTTCGATAAATTAACATGACGTTTTACTCTTGCTTGTTTTGATCACAGCACTAGGACTGGAAGGCACGACGGTTCTAGTATCTAAACGATTCTGACAGCCGAGTTATTGAAATAACCAGACTGGCTGACGCGCACTACTGCGCGCATGCAGTGTGTGGTCCTGATCAATGACACGATTTCTGTGCTGACCCCTAACACTTGGCCTGATTCCCATGTTTCAAAATTTCGGCCCATTTCATCATATTTCCATATTTCTCCTTTAATGAGCAATTGCCAATGTGCTTATCAGATTTCTAAAAACACAGATCATTAGCTGGCAATAAAACGGCTTAGCGGTCGAAAGGTAACAATACCGAGATCATAGTGGAATGTGCTTACATCAAGATACTTCCGTTGAGCAGCTTTCACATATCCGTCTGTTGGTGGCCCTTATCATTCCCCACTGGCGAACAACTTTAAGCTTTTACTTTTTGTCAAAACTCGAGAGTTTAGCGGTCGAATCAATTTCGACTATAACTCTAAAGGATAGAAACACTGAGCCTTTGAGGCACACACTGAGGCATTGATTTCATGGGCCACGGTGGTCAACATCAGTCGCAAGCGGAGTAAAGCTGCGAACAGATACTGACCCTTGTCGTACCCTATATCACAACTTATCTCCCACCACCAATGTTCCCTAACCACCTCTGAATTGCTTACTGGAAGAAGTTCCCCAGTGTGCTACAACTCGTGCATTGAATTTTGTGGTCCCCTCTGAAGTGGCCCCTATAGTACCTTTTCAGCTGTTGTTACGCCCTGCCACCCACCAATAATGTTCCCATCCTGCCCCCTATCTTACTACTTGGATCCAACGTCCCGTCGTTGCTCTGGCCGGTGTTATGAATTAGGTAACCCACTCTTTCTAAGGCTCCTTATGGTATCTTATCAGCTGTTATCACTTCCTGCCACCAATAATGTTCCCATCCTGCCCCTCTTTCACTTCTTGGAACCAACGCTCTAGCCTTGCTGTGACGCGCGTTATAAATTTGCTGACCTTGCCCTTATAAGGCCGCTTATCAGCTCTTATCAACTGCTATCACTTCCTGCCACCACCAGTAGTGCTTGCCCGACCCCCTACATCACCCATCAGTTTGAGCGCTCTATCGCTGTTTTGAAGGAAGTTATGAATTTCCGGTCAAACATACACACAAACACACCACCAGACAGCTCTGCGGGTTATATATAGTAGGATCATGAAAGAATTGATAACCTGTCGCTTATGGTTGGTACCCTAACTTTCAAAGACTAAGGTAGGAATGTTGTACTGGTAAATGGTCCCACTACCATGTGCGTTGCCAGGGTGTGAACTCTTGAACCAGCTCTCATCCAGCCAACCAGGTCTTCTGTCTCCGCGGACGTCAAACTGGTGCCGGATTCGTCTGGGAGGATAAGGACACTGACTTGGACAAAGCTGACATGGCCAAATTACGACCCTTCTATTTGTCTTCCCTTGATCGGAGGTGTCTAGTGCTTCCGGCGATCGACGCATGCTGGAAGGGGCTGGTAGCAGCAGTGGTAGTAGGAGAGGGGGAGGTACACTTGCACATCTCGCGTATCAGGCACCATGAGCGACATGAGTACCACAACTTAAAACTGGTGAGGTAACAGTCCAGAAAAAAATGCAAGTGTGCTTAATGTCAACATGCATCTAAACTTGACTGCAAATTTTTGGAAGAGATTCTAAAAGCAAGAGCTCTAGGAATGTTCCGAGAACTGTTCATAGTAAACTACTTTCTCTTTCGAGAGCTTTCTACAACTTTACCGGTGATAATGGCAGAAGCACGCAGTCCATGGATGCTGCCCTCTAATTACCAACCCCCATAAAACTCTGGGATGGTTGGTTGGGGAATGTTTGCTTTTTTAAAAATCTTTCGCTTATACGTAAAGTACAGGAAGATGGTCGTAAAAGCAGCCATTTCCGTGTCAAAGAGCTATTTGATTGAAATATGATTCCTATTGCATTATCAGGAAGAAACCTTTTTTCTTCAAAACCTCCACCACTGCGCAAGAACGCGCCCCATTTCTTTTCTGTACATCATGTTACCCACCCCCTCCAATGGTCAGGACATATGTACCATCCTCGACGAGCAAACAACGAGAGGTGAAAGTAAAGGAGAGGGGAGTGGTCGTAATTGGGTGGTTGTGGGAAAGGATTGCATATGAACCGCTCAGAAAAAAAAACAATACTGAAGCGAGCATACGGTTGCTTCAGGAAGAAATGGTGATTCTCCAACCACCCTCTCCCTCTCTTTCACACTTCCGGTCCATGGATGCTGCCCTCTAATTACCAACCCCCATAAAACTCTGGGATGGTTGGTTGGGGAATGTTTGCTTTTTTAAAAATCTTTCGCTTATACGTAAAGTACAGGAAGATGGTCGTAAAAGCAGCCATTTCCGTGTCAAGAGAGCTATTTGATTGAAATATGATTCCTATTGCATTATCAGGAAGAAACCTTTTTTCTTCAAAACCTCCACCACTGCGCAAGAACGCGCCCCATTTCTTTTCTGTACATCATGTTACCCACCCCCTCCAATGGTCAGGACATATGTACCATCCTCGATGAGCAAACAACGAGAGGTGAAAGTAAAGGAGAGGGGAGTGGTCGTAATTGGGTGGTGTGTGGGAAAGGATTGCATATGAACCGCTCAGAAAAAAACAATACTGAAGCGAGCATACCGTTGCTTCAGGAAGAAATGGTGATTCTCCAACCACCCTCTCCCTCTCTTTCACACTTCCGGAGGATGAGTATTTGTGAGAAGAAAAAATAGCGAAGGGATGAAGTCCAACGTCAGTAGAAAGTAAGAAGAGAAAGTGAACACTGCAGAGTACAGACTTCAAAAATGTACATCAGGTTTAGACTTTTTTATAGATGAGAAGGAACTCGAGCGCAGCAACATACTCTAGGATACTGCTTCGCCGTTGAGATCAGATCCTCTTATGAGCAAGAAACACCCATTTCGGGGACACGCCATGTGTTCGCACTGGGGAATATTTTTGCTTGAATCTACCTCCCTCCCTATTTTTTTTTCGCAACAACTCTCTTGGCAGAATCCGTTCCTTCTTACCATGCTTCTCCTAAAATTCTTGCTGTTGACAAACGCGCGTGGAAGGAAAAAAGCGTCTGAAATGAATGGAGATGAGGCCGTTGATCTTGCATAAAGCT